TTTTCAACTTTTTCATAAGAGTAATAGCATGTTCATTCTTATTATCAATTCTCAATATATGATCTATGTCGGCTAATGCTTTATCTGTCCTTCCTAATATTTCATAAACTGTACTTCGTTCACATAATGTAGGTATATGATATGGATCTCTAAACAAGACCCTATTGAAATCTGCCAAAGCTTCTTCATATTCACCCAAAGCACTATATACAGCTCCTCGATTGTATAATGCTATTGTAGTACGTTCAAGATTAAATGCTTTGTCCCTATAAACATTATAATAAATATTAGATGAATGTGTTATATGAATATTATATTAAACAATAAAGTAAACAATAAAATTAAACAATAAAATTAAAATTTTTAAAATTTTTAAAATTTTTAAATGAAATGATAATACAAACCTTATGTTCTCGATAGCTCTATCTAAATCTAATAAAGCTTTGGTATTTGATTTTAAAGTTCGATAAATTGCACCTCTTAATGCCAATGGATAATCCCAAACCGGTGATACTTCTAATACTTTATTGAGGTCTTGTAATGCTTCATCATATTTTCCCAAAGCTGATAATACTTCTCCTCGATAAGTTAAAACCCAGACACTGGTAGGATCAAGTTCTATAGCTGCATTTAAATCTAGTAATGCGTCACTATTTTTTCCAATCTTATGATATAACGCACCACGTGTTTCTAATGCAAATACTATGTTTGGATCAATATTTAAGGCGGCATTCAAATCAATTAATGCTTCATGATAACGTTGTAACATAAAGTATACATTTCCACGATTAGTTAATGCAAATCCACTATTAGGATTAAGAAATATAGCTTCATCTAAATCTTCTAAAGCTTCTTCGAAACGTCTATAAGTTCTATTCACAGCCCCTCGACTTTCTCTTGCCATTTGATTTTCTGGTTCTAAATTAATAGCTTTATCCAAATCTTGTAACGCTTTTAATCCTTGACGTTGCATTCTATAAACTTCTCCACGTCTTGTTAATGAATAAACATCAGCTGAATCAATTGATAAAACTCTAGTAAAATCTTTTTCAGCATTTTCAAAGTCTTGAATTGATCTATAAGCATCACCACGATATTTAAGAGCTTCTAAATCATTAGGAATATGATTTAAAATTGAACTAAAATCATCTATAGCATCATCATAATATTGAAGTTTTTGATAAATTTCACCACGAAATTTAATTAAAGATAATTCATTAGGATTTAATTGTACAGCAATGTTCATATGAGCTAAAGCATCTTCATATTCTCCCATAGAATATAAAATTTCACCAAGATTTTTATGAGCAATAAAATTTCTTGAACTAACTTGAACAAGTTTTTCAAAATCCATTAAAGCATCTTCATCTCTACCAAGTGATCTATAAATAAAACCACGAAGTTCAAGAGCCGAACTATTTTCACCACGTATTATAGCTTCATTTAAATCTAATAAAGCTAAATCGTTACGTCCAAGGGAATGATAAACATCAGCACGAGTAGCTAAAATTGAATCAGTATGAGAACCACCAATTTCCAAAGCTTTATTTAAATCTAATAAAGCAGCACCATGAAAACCAAGAGAACAATAAACTTTAGCCCGTCTACCAAGAGTATAAACACTTGTAGGTTCTAAATTTAAAGCCAAATTTAAATCCATTATAGCTTCATTATAATGAAATATTAAATAATAAACTTCAGCTCTAGCTCTTAAAGCGTGAACATTTTTTGGATTTAATTTTAAAGATTTATTAAAATCCATTAAAGATTCTTTATAAGAACCTAAAAGTCTATAAATTTCACCACGTAAAGTATAAGCACGAGGTTTTTTAGGTTTTTTTGAGATGGCAAAATTTAAATCGGAAAGAGCTCTATCCCAATCTTCAACTTGATAAGAAGCATAAGCTCTATCACATCTAATAGAATAACTATTAGGATATTTCATTAAAACTTGAGAATAAGAATTAATAGCATCATTATATTTCATTAATTCTAAAGCTTGAGTAGCATTTGCTAGTAAAGGATGATGTTTTTTTGTTTTTCTGAAAATATTTGAAAGTCTTTTTTGACATTTTTGATTTGGAAGTTTAGCCAAAGTACCATCATCGGATTTATTTAATCGAAGTCTTCCAATGGAATTTTCATTTTGAGAATCAGAAGAATCGGTAGTATGAGATTTTTTTAAGTAATTATCAAGAGAACTATGTTTTGTATTAAAAGAATTAATGGTACTAGAAAAAGAAGGATCACCTAAATTATCGAACCTATGATTTTCAGGAAAAGTAGGAAAACTTTTATGTAAACTTGGAGAAGGAGTAGTAGTTGGAGAAGAAGAAAGAGTATTTGTAATTGGAGAAGAAGAAAGAGTGTTTGTAATTGGAGAAGGAGTATTTGAAGTAGATAAAGTTTTTGAAATTTTGATAGAGTTATAATGATTATAGGAAAATGAATATTGATCCTTTGAATTATGCCGAGATTTTTTCAGCTTTGAAAAAAAAGAATCACTAAATCTTTTATGTTTTGAACGATGTTCCTGAACATGTGGAGATTCTTTAATTTGATAAAGTTCAGGAATTGTTATATGAGGAGAATCACTAAAAGAATAACATTCTGATACAAATGAACCACTGCTTGTTAAAGTCTGAGCACTATCAGAGGTATCAAAGCCGTGATAAGCATTTTGATAAAAAGAAATTTTGGTATTTGGAAGGTTTGTGCTAAATGGTCTATGATTTGAAATGTTATTTGAAATGTTATTTGAAATGTTATTTGAAATGATGTTATTTGAAATGATGTTATTTGAAATGATGTTATTTGAAATGATGTTATTTGAAATATTATTTGAAATGATGTTATTTGAAATGTTATTTGGAATGTTAGTATCTATTACACGAATCCCATTCATACTCGTACTTTTAGCACGAATGTTAGGATTATCAGTCGAAAATACACTGTTATTATTTATTGTCATGTTTGTGGGTATTCGTGGGTAGAATAAAAAATGAATAGGTTTATTTATTTTTTTATTTTTTTTTTGACTAAAGATAGTAATATGGGCGAGGAATTGGTATTTAAATCAAAAAAATCGAGTGATTCGAGTTATTTGAGTTATTCGAGTTATTCAAGTTATTCAAGTTATTCATGCATGCTTTTAATAAGTCATTCCTTTTGAAATTTTTTGAAATTATTTGAAATTATTTGAAATTATTTGAAATTATTTGAAATTTTGAAATGAACGTGTATAAATAAAAAAAAAATGTCGAAAAAAAAAACCCCGCATATAATAAATAACTTCATTGTTAGCATATATTTTACGTATAAATTTACGTATAAATTTACATATAAATTTACGTATAACGCAAATAACTT